TCCCAAGACACACACACCCTTCCTGCCTTGGCTGGAAAAGCCTGCTATTTTTGCTCCTTCAGGGGCAGGCACTCCGATTCTCTGCTCATCCTTTCTCGTTATCCAGTAGGGCCTCCCGTATCCATGGGGACTCGTTTCCAAGCTCCCTTCCTGCAGATGCTGAAAAACGTGGAAGCATGAAACAGAACAGACACTGCATGGTCTCTGGCGCCCTCTAGGGGCCGGTTCAGACAAATATGTACACCCTGGAAATAGATTATCAATAGCCTTTAGTATTTTCAGCCCAGTGGATAAGTGAATCAGTGGATGGGCGGGTCCTGCTGTCCACCTCTAAGCACAGGTGGGCATCCATGGAGCCACGCAAAAGGAGAATGACTGCTTTATGTTCATACGCCCATAGAAGGCACTAGAAGAAGCAAGAAGGGTTTCCTCAGGGAATCTTAGCTGGGTGCTGAGATGCGTTAATTGCCCCCCCTTCCAACGCTGCTGCTGCTGCCTGCTCCCCTCATACGAAGTCTGTGCAGCGGAGCCTCGCTCTGCTTTGCTTCTCAATACAATTTAACACTAATTTCCGTTTTTTAAAAAAATAAAGACAGACACTACTGCATGAGGCCAAGGCAGAAGTTAATTTCTCCTAGAAAATGAGGATGGACCATTACCAGCGAGGAGAGGAGGGTCAAAGGCCCCCCCGGCTGATCCTTAGCTCTGTTTACTAGAAGCTCCGCTGGCCCAAGTGGGAGACTTTCCATTCTGTGGCCCGCAAAGCCATCCGTTCTCTCTCTTTCCTTTTTTCCCCCTACATTTTTTGCATCCAGAGAGAGAAAAAGCCTTTTTATTGAAGAATGTGATATGCTTGTGTGTTTGATGGTCTCAGGCCCTCTGAATGGAGGGTGCCCTTCTTTCTATAAAATAAAAAACAAGCTTTGTGATATAAAGAGTTGTTAGTGTTGTGTGAGAACAGGCAGGTCCCATTTTCCATCTCTGACTCACAGTGCCATGTTTGTCATCAATGGTAAGAGTACCTCTGAGTGCATACAAAGTGTGGATCAGATCCTCCCATCACTGCCCAAGAGCAGAGCCTAATCTCCTCCAGCCACAGGTATGTCTCCCTCGCATTTCTGCATCTGGCCATCCTTCCACAAAAGATTACAGGCCCTGCTAGCAGAAGATTCGGAAAGGCGGGGAGATGGCAGTTCATCGCCTGGTTCAACCTCTGCTTCCACCTTTTCCCCCATCCGGGATCTGGGATTCCAGCGTTCCTGTAGACATAGAACACTGTAAACACACCGGGGGCCAATTTTTGCATCCATAAGAGCAGGGCCCAGATCCAGCTCCCAAAAGGCACTGTGGGGAAGCCCTCTCAAGTCCAAAGAGGCTGGAGGGCATCTCTCGAGATGCCACGAAAACAGCTCAGCAAGCCCCTCCCTGAGGGAGGTGAAAGGGGAGGGATGCCAGCCCTGTGTCCCTTCCAGAGATGGGCACGAACCACTAATTCATGCCAGTTCGCTTATTGGCCAAACAAGTGTTCAGCACTTCCCAGTCCAACCTCCTCCAGCAGGTGCCCAGTGAGTGGTTGCCTGCTGGAGGAGGCAGGGCTGGGAAGCGTTGAACACCTGTTTGGCTGATGAACGAACCAGTGGTTCGTGCCCATCTTTTAGCCACTTTCTTTATCAGCTCTCACTCAAAAGGCTGTTTGGGGTCCCTTACTGTCCTCAGGCCTCTGCATCTCCTTTAGAGGAGGAAGGACAAGTAGAAGGCAGGATCCCAACCTCCACTCCCAAACAACCAAACAACTGTGGAGTGGGCACAAGAGGGAGACTAATTTTATTTCAAAGAAATGGCATCCTAGAGGCCTGCAGAGACATCAAGAGGAAAGCCGCCTGCCCCACACTCACACCCAAAGTCCTGCCCGCGCAGCCACGGGCACGTTCAAGCCTTGAGGGCCACTTTGGCCTGGGCCTTCTGGAACTCCTGCTGCAGCCGCACTAACACCTCCCGCTGCTGGTGCGACTTCTTATCGTACTCCTGCATCTGGGCCTCATAGTGCTTGCTGGGAACAGATGGAGAGGGGGCAGTAGTCAGTGGGGCCAAGAAGCACCAGCCATTTCTGGAGGGACCCTACAATGACCCCCAATGTTTCTCAAGGCACACGCTCTTTTCCCTTTTGCTTTCCTTGGAGCCTCAGGACCAAACCTGTCTCTCTGCAGCTTCTCTGGATGACTTTACCCCATCCTCCTTTGGGATTTCCCCGTTTTGGTATTATCTTCTCCTACTCTACAAAGTCTAGCTCAGGGAGGTCTCTGGCTGTGGAGTCAGAAGCTGGGAGTTTGATTCTCCCTTGTGCTTCCAGGCAGAAAAGAGCTAGCCTGGGTGGTCCTGGGCCAGATGCACAAGTCCCCTGGATCAACCCCAGTAGAAGGGGATGAGAAATGACTGCTGAACATTCTCTACCAGGGAAATAAGAGAACAGTCAGCCAAGAGTGGCCCACTCCCTGAGGCCAGACTCTCGTTAATCCAGCAAGAGAACCAGAGGAGGAAGGACAAGTAGAAGGCAGGATCCCAACCTCCATTCCCAAACAACCAAACAACTGTGGAGTGGGCACAAGAGGGAGACTAATTTTATTTCAAAGAAATGGCATCCTAGAGGCTCTGCAGAGACATCAAGAGGAAAGTCACCTGCCCCACACCCAAAGTCCTGCCCCGCGGTAACCCACAGGCACCTTCAAGCCTTGAGGGCCTCTTTCTCTCTCAGAGGTAGACTGCCTCTGCACCCAGAGGTTCCTCAGAGGGAAGGCTAGGTCATCTCTTTCAGCCCGAGGACCAAACTCAGTTTCAGAAACATTCTGCAATTCTGAGGGTGAGCAAGGCTGAAAAAGGCAGGACCGGGGCTGCCCCTATATCAGGATCAGAGATGGGAGGGGTTGCTGAGCCATCCCGTCTTCTTTGCCTGCCCCCCTGACATCCATTCCCCCCCACACTTCAAGACTGACTCACATTTCCCCTGTGATGTAATCCAGCCTTTTCCCAACAGTGGCTTTTGCCTCGTCCATGTCCTGCTTCACCAGGACCGGACCGATCAGCTTGTAGACGGTGTTAGAGGAGTCTAAGAGGTCCAACTCCTAGAAAGGAGAGACAGCCCCATTGAAGAGCAGCAGGTGGGGAAAGGGGGAAAAGGAGGAGGGATGGGGCAGTCCAGGGGCCTCACCTCCTTCACGACGTTGTTCTCAGTCAACTGAGCCTCCAGTTTCTGCTGGGCTGTCATGCATTTGTTGATCTCTGAAAGAGGAAAGAAAAGAGAGAGAGAGAGAGTGATCTGGAAAGATCAACTTCGGGAGGCTTCCCAGCCACCTCTCCCCCTTAAGGACATCCAACTCCACCTCTTACTCTATCTATCCATGACCGGCCGTGGGTCTTGCAAATGAGGGAGGCTTTAATAAAGATGCCCCAGGAAAATCTGCAGAAGGGCTATTCCTCTTTGTTAAAAAGAATTATTTCTGTACTATCTTTTAGGTGTCCACCTTTCTCTTTTAACAAAAGGCAGAGAGCGCTTTATAGCCTCAACGTCTGCCTTGGCTTCTTCTTTTTTAAAACAAGTCAGCCTGCAGGAGGGGGGTCCTTTCACCTGCTTTGTGTTTCTTTCACAGGACTGAGATTTAGCTCCATTGGAAAACGTAAGGCAATTCAAACCTCCCAAAGGAGAGCTTCTTTTTGAACGTATAATAGATGACCGAAGCCTCACCTTACAGCATGTCCTTCAGTCACATCACATACAGTACATAGAGGGGACACCTGGAACTGAAACCCCATGGATGAGTGGTTCCCAACCTGGGGCCCCCAGATGTTCTTGGACTAAAACTCCCAGAAGCCTTCACCATGAGTTGTGCTGACCAAGATCTTTGGGAGTTGTAGTCCAAGAACATCTGGGGGCCCAAGGTTGAGAACCACTGCCATAGATACTTGAGTCCTTCTTGGGCTTTGTTTGTCATATGGGTCTAGGTTCACAAAGACCCTGCACAGCTTAGGAACTTCCATACCTCCGTGATAAGTGATCCCACCCCACCCCACCCCTGCCACAGTCCCCCTGGGTCAACTGAAGACACCACCTCCGAATCATCCATCCTTTCCTGAAGTCACACTTGCCCGTCGGTCAGATGTTTTGAAGGCATTTAAAGGAGGAAGAGCCCATTCTGGGTTTGGGGAAGGGCAGCAAATCTAGAACTATCCCATAAAAAAATAGGTTATGGAAGAAGTGACCTTTCTGCAGCTGTTGGAACTTCTCCAGTTCCCCCTGAATCTTCTTCTGCACCTCCTCAGCCATCTCTTCATCCGCCATCTTCTCCCTACGGCTGAAGTGGCCTTCTCCTGCAAAGAAACACCGAAGGTCAGCCGAGCTGGAGAGCTGGAAGCAACCCCATCCATCTGCGGATGCAGGAAAACCCCAGGCCAGAACATCCCCCTCCCGGGTGGCCCCCCAACGCCTGGTCCAAAACGTCTGAAGGAGCTGCCAAGAATAAGTTTCTGCCTATTTCCACACAACGGCTCTTCAGATATTTGAAAATGGCCATCATACCACTTCCCTTTTCCAGAATAAAAAAAACAAAACACCCAGAAACCTCAATTTGTTCCTTACAGGGCTTGGTTTCCAGATCCTTTACCCTGCTGGTCACCCTCCTCTGGACATCCTCCAGCTCATTCGTCTTCTTAACTGGACTGCCCAGAATTAAGACACTGGATTGTAGATGAAGACATGAACTTTGGGCACACGGTTCTAGACCCTTTTCCCCGTGTAGTACAGCCATGTTGGCCATTGCCTCTTCATATATTAGTGTGTCTGGTTTTTTTTTCCTGCCTAAATGTAGACCTTTATGATCCCCCCCTTTTTTCTTTAAACTCACTTTGTTTCTTTTGACCCAGTTCTATCTGTTGACGTCACCTTGAATCCTGATTACCTTCTTCTGGTACTCTTTTGAAGTATCAGCTACTGCCCCAGTTTGGTGTCACCCTCAAATTTCATAAGCATCCCCCTCCAGTTTTTAACCTGAGTCATTTATAAAGAAGCCAAACTATACAAGGCCCAGGTTATTTACAATAAAGACAGTGCTTTATATTTCCACTAGACGCTGTTCCAAGACCTCTATTCAGAGCATGTTACCATAGACTTTTGAGACTGAAGGATGCTTACTATTACTATATTTCCATAACCCACAAGCTCTGTTTGGACATTGCCGTCCTCAGCAATCCTGAGATTCTCTGAAATTTTATTTGAAATTTTTTATTTGAAATCCTTTTATTATTTATACCCTGCCTTTCTCCAGAAGAGGATTCCAGGCAGCTTACAATATTAAAACAGACAATATTAAAAGTCAGGGAAACAATAAATTCTTAAAATTTTAAAACAAATCAATCGTCGGTATCATATTTCAAAATAGCTTAAACAATTTTGAAAGCATATTTAAAAGATAGACAAACAACCTTATTTAAAAAAACCTCACAATCAGCCCGTTACTGGGGTGGGCGTTGAGGGGTGGGGGAGCCTGCCGTAAGAGAAAGCCAGTCTAAGCTTCTTGTGGGAGGGAGTTCCAACACTTCCAGCAGCAACTCCCAAGGAATTTAAATTTAATCATATGCCATGTTAGTTCATAAGAAGCCACCTTGAGACCACATCAGAGGCAATGTAGGTCCATCTTAGCCATCGTCCACAGCCTTGACTAACCGAGCTTCAAGAAGCTGGCCTTCGGGGAAGAAGATTATGGGTGTTGTAGTCCAAACTGAAAGGAACTTGAAGGAGTTGCAAGTCCTCTCCCTTAAGCAGAGGGCAATGACTGGGTGGCCCATGGGCCACTGAGCTGAAGGCTGCTGCTGCAGCAGCTCACTGAGGATGATGGGGCAGTTCCTCAACCCGGACCCCATTCCTCTTCCTCTTTCCCCTCCTCTTCCTCCTTGGGGGTCTTCATCCCATCAAAAGGAGACCCGTCTGTCGTAAAAGCGTTCCTTAGAGCTGCCTTTACATGAGACAGAGAGGGATTCAGAATGATCCGTCCCTATTGCCAGCAAAATCGGGTCCTGTAATTTTGCCCTAGGGCGACTTCTCCCTCCTTCCCCCAAGTCTGTCTCGATTTTAAATAAACAATCTGGAAGGTCTGCTCTTCCTCTTTTATTACTTTAGGACCCTCATTTGGTAGCGTGGCCAGATCAAAACAATCCTAGTTCCAAAATATCCAATTTACTACAGTAGCTTGGTCTAAACAAGGAGACAGCTTACAGACAATTTGTCTTTTATATTTTATTACAAAATATATCATTTCAACAAGCTCATTTTAACGTCATTCAGTATTTCCAAATTATTTCCAAAATAACCCCCAGCCTTAGCCACCAGTCATTTCCTCTATAAAGTGAAAATAATGAACTGTCTAATTATATCTTAAATAAGCATTCTTACGCAATCTCAAAATAAAGTCCTGTCGGCTGCATATCTCTCGGTGTGTTGTCTCTCTCCCTTCCATCTCTATTCTACTTTTACACTTTTCATCATCAAATTCATGACACCGTCTTCCCCCGGCCACCCAAGCAAACCATGTGGCTACAGGGGGGGCTTGACTTAAGAACGGCTTGAGTTAAGAACATTTTGACTTAAGAACCACTCTCATAGGAAAATATTGACTTGACTTACATACTTAGATTTGAGTTAAGAACTGAAAAAAACCCACATGGGAGGCAGGGAAAGTGCAAAATGTGAACTTTCAGTTAACTGTTGGCCAGTGAAAAGGGAGCCTGTCTGCTTCCTCACTCCTCCCAGTGTTTAGAGAGTGGATGGGGAGACAGTCTTCAGACTGCCTGGTACTGGACTGCCTGGACTGTATTTTCCCTGCCTTCCCGGAACCTTTCTTGACCTAAGAAAAAAAGAAACAAAATATCCCCCTCTAGTGGTTGAAGGCGGAATAGCAGCTTCCCATTCGTTTCTATGGACGGAAAAGAGCAGATACGGATCAAATGGTTCTCAATGCATTCCTATGGGAAATGCCCATAGGATGAATGTGGGCAGTGCCTGAACAATAAGGGGGGGGGTGTTATCCGTTATATCTTGGTCAGGATCCTTGCTCAACAGTTTGGAAGGAATGCATAAATGAATGTGCCCATAACGAGCAGGCTGAGCAATGATCAAAAATAACATCCCTCACGGGCTGTTGTAAAGATTAGTGTCATAATACAGACAGGTCTTTTAACACCTAGTGGACATTAAGATGGTGGTGCTGCGGGTTAAACTGCTGACACCTCTGTGCTGCAAGGTCAGAAGACCAGCTGTCGTAAGATCGAATCCACGCGACGGAGAGAGCATCCGTCGCTTGTCCCAGCTCCTGCCAACCTAGCAGTTTGAAAGCATGTAAAAATGCAAGTAGATAAATAGGTACCACCTCGGTGGGAAGGTAATGGTGTTCTGTGTCTAGTTGTGCCAGCCATGTGACCATGGAAACTGTCTTTGGACGAACGCTGGCTCTATGGCTTGGAAACGGGGATGAGCACCGCGCCCTAGAGTCGGACACGACTGGACTAAATGTCAAGAGGAACCTTTACCTTTAGGACATTAACATGCCAATTGTTTATATATACACAAGCATTTGAAATGAGGGTTTATTGTATGAGACCAAAAATGTCCTGGCTTGAGACACAGTGACTGAGGGAGAAATATTGAGATCAGTGAATACAGAGAGTGAGAAACAACAAGTGCAGAAATAAAATTGGCCTTTTTGTGACTCCAAGGGATCTATCTATCTGGGGACAAAGTAAAGCTTTGGTACCTTGACCTGGAGAGGTACTACTGTGTCTTCCTAAAACTGGCTGCTGAATTGAATAGGGAAGGGGATGCCCTGAAGCCGGCAGAGTTAAACCAGGCTGACACACTGCAAGGGTTGTGTGCTCCCTCCTTTTCTTTTCACAGGGAACAACTCAAAAGCCCTACAGCTTGTGGTGGTGGTTTGTGTGTTTTCCTTCTGCCTGCTGGGCTTCGTGCCCAGCTCCTCTACAGCCTCTTAAACCTACAGGAAGTGGAGCTGATGTACGAAGAAGCCAGGAGCCGCAAAAAACCCACCACAAATCCCATTGTGTTTGGGCACCTTTGGGGGCTGATTTCCCTGGGGGCATTCCGGGATCGCAAGCCACCTCTTCAGACACAGAAACATTTAGGATTGAATCCTCGGGAATGCCTGCTTTGGGCCTCCCCCTCCCTCTCCCTCCCCTTCTCCCTCGCCCCCAGGTTTCGGGCAGAAGGGGGCGCCCTTGCCCTGAAAATCACCAGCAAAGGGGCAGCAGCTCAGGCCGAAGGTGCCTTTTTTTCAGAGAGGGTCTGGTCTCTTTTCAGCCGCAGCCTCTGCAGGGAATGCTGGCCAGCCCACCATGTTTCTTCCCTGAGTGGCCACCTGATGCTGGGGGGGGCGCTGGCTACCTCACGCTAGAGACTGGAAGCCTTACCCCTCTTTTCATGAGTTGGTTTTAATAGGAATCAGATTAGACAGCTAGATAGCTAGATAGCTAGATAGCTAGACAGACAGACAGACAGACAGACAGACAGACAGACAGACAGATAGATAGATAGATAGATAGATAGACAGACAGACAGACAGACAGACAGACAGACAGACAGACAGACAGACAGACAGACAGACAGACAGACAGACAGACAGACAGACAGACAGACAGACAGACAGACAGACAGACAGACAGACAGACAGACAGACAGACAGACAGACAGACAGACAGACAGACAGACAGACAGACAGACAGACAGACAGACAGACAGACAGACAGACAGACAGACAGACAGACAGACAGACAGACAGACAGACAGACAGACAGACAGACAGACAGACAGACAGACAGACAGACAGACAGACAGACAGACAGACAGACAGACAGACAGACAGACAGACAGACAGACAGACAGACAGACAGACAGACAGACAGACAGACAGACAGACAGACAGACAGACAGACAGACAGACAGACAGACAGACAGACAGACCATGCAGGCAAACCTAGTGTTCAGCCTCAGCTCAGCCTCCTAGGGAAAAGCTATCCTGGGAGGATTTACAATGCACCAGGGCTGTGACATTAAAAAAAAAAAGCAAGAAGCTGCATTTTACTTTAAAAACAAGGTATGTGGTGAATATGCCCCATTTTTGCAGCTGTTATGTCACTGAAATGTAGTGTTATGATAGTCGTTTCAATGGTGGGGTTAATGGGCTGCTGAAAAGTCCTATCAAAGGGCACATGCAAGTATGCTTTCTCCACCTTTGCTGTAGCCTAGACAAGCGAGAGCCCTTCTCTTTGTCACATCA